ATAAAGACAAGGTTTTGGGGTATTTCCAATGACGAGGAGGTGCTTCCGGCTGGAGTTGAACCAGCGACCTTAGGATCACAGCGTTTCACACAAGGAGCATCTTACAGTGCACCGCTCTACCAACTGAGCTATCAAGGTGCTCTCTAGTCACAAGTGCAGAAAACATAGTGGCTTCGAAGACACACTATGCCCACAGAACTATTCCAACCCATGGTCAATGAAAAGCCCAGCCCTACCTGACGAACAAAGCTTTGCAGTTTGTACCCAACAGTCATTGCCAGGGACCCAGAACTGATAATCAGGACTTTTAGGCTGGGTGAATAAAAAATTGATGGTTGAAAATTTAAGAAAGAGTTATGTTGTTTGTGTTTTTACATTTTGGAGGAGTTGACAGATAAAGACAAGGCTTGGGGGTATTTCCAATGACAAGGAGGTGCTTCCGGCTGGAGTTGAACCAGCCACCTTAGGATCACAGCGTTTCACACAAGAAGCATCTTACAGTCGACCGCTCTACCAACTGAGCTATCAAGGGGCTCTCTAGTCTCAAGTGCAGAAAACATAGTGGCTTCGAAGACACACTATGCCCACAGAACTATTCCAACCCATGGTCAATGAAAAGCCCAGCCCTACCTGCAGAACAAAGCTTTGCAGTTTGTACCCAACAGTCATTGCCAGGGACCCAGAACTGATAATCAGGACTTTTAGGCTGGGTGAATAAAAAATTGATGGTTGAAAATTTAAGAAAGAGTTATGTTGTTTGTGTTTTTACATTTTGGAGGAGTTGACAGATAAAGACAAGGCTTGGGGGTATTTCCAATGACAAGGAGGTGCTTCCGGCTGGAGTTGAACCAGCGACTTTAGGATCACAGCGTTTCACACAAGGAGCATCTTACAGTCGACCGCTCTACCAACTGAGCTATCAAGGGGCTCTCTAGTCTCAAGTGCAGAAAACATAGTGGCTTCGAAGACACACTTTGCCCACAGAACTATTCCAACCCATGGTCAATGAAAAGCCCAGCCCTACCTGCAGAACAAAGCTTTGCAGTTTGTACCCAACAGTCATTGCCAGGGACCCAGAACTGATAATCAGGACTTTTAGGCTGGGTGAATAAAAAATTGATGGTTGAAAATTTAAGAAAGAGTTATGTTGTTTGTGTTTTTACATTTTGGAGGAGTTGACAGATAAAGACAAGGCTTGGGGGTATTTCCAATGACAAGGAGGTGCTTCGGGCTGGAGTTGAACCAGCCACCTTAGGATGACAGAGTTTCACACAAGGAGCATCTTACAGTCCACCGCTCTACCAACTGAGCTATCAAGGTGCTCTCTAGTCACAACTGCAGAAAACATAGTGGCTTCGAAGACACACTATGCCCACAGAACTATTCCAACCCATGGTCAATGAAAAGCCCAGCCCTACCTGACGAACAAAGCTTTGCAGTTTGTACCCAACAGTCATTGCCAGGGACCCAGAACTGATAATCAGGACTTTTAGGCTGGGTGAATAAAAAATTGATGGTTGAAAATTTAAGAAAGAGTTATCTTGTTTGTGTTTTTACATTTTGGAGGAGTTGACAGATAAAGACAAGGCTTGGGGGTATTTCCAATGACAAGGAGGTGCTTCCGGCTGGAGTTGAACCAGCCACCTTAGGATCACAGCGTTTCAAACAAGGAGCATTTTACAGTCCACCGCTCTAACAACTGAGCTATCAAGGTGCTCTCTAGTCACAAGTGCAGAAAACATAGTGGCTTCGAAGACACACTATGCCCACAGAACTATTACAACCCATGGTCAATGAAAAGCCCAGCCCTACCTGACGAACAAAGCTTTGCAGTGTGTACCCAACAGTCATTGCCAGGGACCCAGAACTGATAATCAGGACTTTTAGGCTGGGTGAATAAAAAATTGATTGTTGAAAATTTAAGAAAGAGTTATCTTGTTTGTGTTTTCACATTTTGGAGGAGTTGACAGATAAAGACAAGGCTTGGGGGTATTTCCAATGACAAGGAGGTGCTTCGGGCTGGAGTTGAACCAGCCACCTTAGGATGACAGAGTTTCACACAAGGAGCATCTTACAGTCCACCGCTCTACCAACTGAGCTATCAAGGTGCTCTCTAGTCACAACTGCAGAAAACATAGTGGCTTCGAAGACACACTATGCCCACAGAACTATTCCAACCCATGGTCAATGAAAAGCCCAGCCCTACCTGACGAACAAAGCTTTGCAGTTTGTACCCAACAGTCATTGCCAGGGACCCAGAACTGATAATCAGGACTTTTAGGCTGGGTGAATAAAAAATTGATGGTTGAAAATTTAAGAAAGAGTTATCTTGTTTGTGTTTTTACATTTTGGAGGAGTTGACAGATAAAGACAAGGCTTGGGGGTATTTCCAATGACAAGGAGGTGCTTCCGGCTGGAGTTGAACCAGCCACCTTAGGATCACAGCGTTTCAAACAAGGAGCATTTTACAGTCCACCGCTCTACCAACTGAGCTATCAAGGTGCTCTCTAGTCACAAGTGCAGAAAACATAGTGGCTTCGAAGACACACTATGCCCACAGAACTATTACAACCCATGGTCAATGAAAAGCCCAGCCCTACCTGACGAACAAAGCTTTGCAGTGTGTACCCAACAGTCATTGCCAGGGACCCAGAACTGATAATCAGGACTTTTAGGCTGGGTGAATAAAAAATTGATTGTTGAAAATTTAAGAAAGAGTTATCTTGTTTGTGTTTTCACATTTTGGAGGAGTTGACAGATAAAGACAAGGCTTGGGGGTATTTCCAATGACAAGGAGGTGCTTCCAGCTGGAGTTGAACAAGCCACCTTAGGATCACAGCGTTTCACACAAGGAGCATCTTACAGTGCACCGCTCTACCAACTGAGCTATCAAGGTGCTCTCTAGTCACAAGTGCAGAAAACATAGTGGCTTCGAAGACACACTATGCCCACAGAACTATTCCAACCCATGGTCAATGAAAAGCCCAGCCCTACCTGACGAACAAAGCTTTGCAGTTTGTACCCAACAGTCATTGCCAGGGACCCAGAACTGATAATCAGGACTTTTAGGCTGGGTGATTAAAAAATTGATGGTTGAAAATTTAAGAAAGAGTTATCTTGTTTGTGTTTTTACATTTTGGAGGAGTTGACAGATAAAGACAAGGCTTGGGGGTATTTCCAATGACAAGGAGGTGCTTCCGGCTGGAGTTGAACCAGCCACCTTCGGATCACAGCGTTTCACACAAGGAGCATCTTACAGTCCACCGCTCTACCAACTGAGCTATCAAGGTGCTCTCTAGTCACAAGTGCAGAAAACATAGTGGCTTCTAAGACACACTATGCCCACAGAACTATTCCAACCCATGGTCAATGAAAAGCCCAGCCCTACCTGACGAACAAAGCTTTGCAGTTTGTACCCAACAGTCATTGCCAGGGACCCATAACTGATAATCAGGACTTTTAGGCTGGGTGATTAAAAAATTGATGGTTGAAAATTTAAGAAAGAGTTATCTTGTTTGTGTTTTTACATTTTGGAGGAGTTGACAGATAAAGACAAGGCTTGGGGGTATTTCCAATGACAAGGAGGTGCTTCCGGCTGGAGTTGAACCAGCCTCCTTAGGATCACAGCATTTCACACAAGGAGCATCTTACAGTCCACCGCTCTACCAACTGAGCTATCAAGGTGCTCTCTAGTCACAAGTGCAGAAAACATAGTGGCTTCGAAGACACACTATGCCCACAGAACTATTACAACCCATGGTCAATGAAAAGCCCAGCCCTACCTGACGAACAAAGCTTTGCAGTTTGTACCCAACAGTCATTGCCAGGGACCCAGAACTGATAATCAGGACTTTTAGGCTGGGTGATTAAAAAATTGATGGTTGAAAATTTAAGAAAGAGTTATCTTGTTTGTGTTTTTACATTTTGGAGGAGTTGACAGATAAAGACAAGGCTTGGGGGTATTTCCAATGACAAGGAGGTGCTTCCGGCTGGAGTTGAACCAGCCACCTTCGGATCACAGCGTTTCACACAAGGAGCATCTTACAGTCCACCGCTCTACCAACTGAGCTATCAAGGTGCTCTCTAGTCACAAGTGCAGAAAACATAGTGGCTTCGAAGACACACTATGCCCACAGAACTATTCCAACCCATGGTCAATGAAAAGCCCAGCCCTACCTGACGAACAAAGCTTTGCAGTTTGTACCCAACAGTCATTGCCAGGGACCCAGAACTGATAATCAGGACTTTTAGGCTGGGTGAATAAAAAATTGATGGTTGAAAATTTAAGAAAGAGTTATCTTGTTTGTGTTTTTACATTTTGGAGGAGTTGACAGATAAAGACAAGGCTTGGGGGTATTTCCAATGACAAGGAGGTGCTTCCGGCTGGAGTTGAACCAGCCACCTTAGGATCACAGCGTTTCAAACAAGGAGCATCTTACAGTCCACCGCTCTACCAACTGAGCTATCAAGGTGCTCTCTAGTCACAAGTGCAGAAAACATAGTGGCTTCGAAGACACACTATGCCCACAGAACTATTCCAACCCATGGTCAATGAAAAGCCCAGCCCTACCTGACGAACAAAGCTTTGCAGTTTGTACCCAACAGTCATTGCCAGGGACCCAGAACTGATAATCAGGACTTTTAGGCTGGGTGAATAAAAAATTGATGGTTGAAAATTTAAGAAAGAGTTATCTTGTTTGTGTTTTCACATTTTGGAGGAGTTGACAGATAAAGACAAGGATTGGGGGTATTTCCAATGACAAGGAGGTGCTTCCAGCTGGAGTTAAACCAGCCACCTTAGGATCACAGCGTTTCACACAAGGAGCATCTTACAGTCCACCACTCTACCAACTGAGCTATCAAGGTGCTCTCTAGTCACAAGTGCAGAAAACATAGTGGCTTCGAAGACACACTATGCCCACAGAACTATTCCAACCCATGGTCAATGAAAAGCCCAGCCCTACCTGCAGAACAAAGCTTTGCAGTTTGTACCCAACAGTCATTGCCAGGGACCCAGAACTGATAATCAGGACTTTTAGGCTGGGTGAATAAAAAATTGATGGTTGAAAATTTAAGAAAGAGTTATCTTGTTTGTGTTTTTACATTTTGGAGGAGTTGACAGATAAAGACAAGGCTTGGGGGTATTTCCAATGACAAGGAGGTGCTTCCGGCTGGAGTTGAACCAGCCTCCTTAGGATCACAGCATTTCACACAAGGAGCATCTTACAGTCCACCGCTCTACCAACTGAGCTATCAAGGTGCTCTCTAGTCACAAGTGCAGAAAACATAGTGGCTTCGAAGACACACTATGCCCACAGAACTATTCCAACCCATGGTCAATGAAAAGCCCAGCCCTACCTGACGAACAAAGCTTTGCAGTTTGTACCCAACAGTCATTGCCAGGGACCCAGAACTGATAATCAGGACTTTTAGGCTGGGTGATTGAAAAAATTGATGGTTGAAAATTTAAGAAAGAGTTATCTTGTTTGTGTTTTTACATTTTGGAGGAGTTGACAGATAAAGACAAGGCTTGGGGGTATTTCCAATGACAAGGAGGTGCTTCCGGCTGGAGTTGAACCAGCCACCTTCGGATCACAGCGTTTCACACAAGGAGCATCTTACAGTCCACCGCTCTACCAACTGAGCTATCAAGGTGCTCTCTAGTCACAAGTGCAGAAAACATAGTGGCTTCGAAGACACACTATGCCCACAGAACTATTCCAACCCATGGTCAATGAAAAGCCCAGCCCTACCTGACGAACAAAGCTTTGCAGTTTGTACCCAACAGTCATTGCCAGGGACCCAGAACTGATAATCAGGACTTTTAGGCTGGGTGAATAAAAAATTGATGGTTGAAAATTTAAGAAAGAGTTATCTTGTTTGTGTTTTTACATTTTGGAGGAGTTGACAGATAAAGACAAGGCTTGGGGGTATTTCCAATGACAAGGAGGTGCTTCAGGCTGGAGTTGAACCAGCGACCTTAGGATCACAGCGTTTCACACAAGGAGCATCTTACAGTCGACCGCTCTACCAACTGAGCTATCAAGGTGCTCTCTAGTCACAAGTGCAGAAAACATAGTGGCTTCGAAGACACACTATGCCCACAGAACTATTCCAACCCATGGTCAATGAAAAGCCCAGCCCTACCTGACGAACAAAGCTTTGCAGTTTGTACCCAACAGTCATTGCCAGGGACCCAGAACTGATAATCAGGACTTTTAGGCTGGGTGAATAAAAAATTGATGGTTGAAAATTTAAGAAAGAGTTATCTTGTTTGTGTTTTTACATTTTGGAGGAGTTGACAGATAAAGACAAGGCTTGGGGGTATTTCCAATGACAAGGAGGTGCTTCCGGCCGGAGTTGAACCAGCCACCTTAGGATCACAGCGTTTCACACAAGGAGCATCTTACAGTCCACCGCTCTACCAACTGAGCTATCAAGGGGCTCTCTTGTCCCTAGTGCAGAAAACATAGTGGCTTCGAAGACACACTATGCCCACAGAACTATTCCAACCCATGGTCAATGAAAAGCCCAGCCCTACCTGACGAACAAAGCTTTGCAGTTTGTACCCAACAGTCATTGCCAGGGACCCAGAACTGATAATCAGGACTTTTAGGCTGGGTGAATAAAAAATTGATGGTTGAAAATTTAAGAAAGAGTTATCTTGTTTGTGTTTTTACATTTTGGAGGAGTTGACAGATAAAGACAAGGCTTGGGGGTATTTCCAATGACAAGGAGGTGCTTCCGGCTGGAGTTGAACCAGCCACCTTAGGATCACAGCGTTTCAAACAAGGAGCATCTTACAGTCCACCGCTCTAGCAACTGAGCTATCAAGGTGCTCTCTAGTCACAAGTGCAGAAAACATAGTGGCTTCGAAGACACACTATGCCCACAGAACTATTCCAACCCATGGTCAATGAAAAGCCCAGCCCTACCTGACGAACAAAGCTTTGCAGTTTGTACCCAACAGTCATTGCCAGGGACCCAGAACTGATAATCAGGACTTTTAGGCTGGGTGAATAAAAAATTGATGGTTGAAAATTTAAGAAAGAGTTATCTTGTTTGTGTTTTCACATTTTGGAGGAGTTGACAGATAAAGACAAGGATTGGGGGTATTTCCAATGACAAGGAGGTGCTTCCAGCTGGAGTTAAACCAGCCACCTTAGGATCACAGCGTTTCACACAAGGAGCATCTTACAGTCCACCACTCTACCAACTGAGCTATCAAGGTGCTCTCTAGTCACAAGTGCAGAAAACATAGTGGCTTCGAAGACACACTATGCCCACAGAACTATTCCAACCCATGGTCAATGAAAAGCCCAGCCCTACCTGCAGAACAAAGCTTTGCAGTTTGTACCCAACAGTCATTGCCAGGGACCCAGAACTGATAATCAGGACTTTTAGGCTGGGTGAATAAAAAATTGATGGTTGAAAATTTAAGAAAGAGTTATCTTGTTTGTGTTTTTACATTTTGGAGGAGTTGACAGATAAAGACAAGGCTTGGGGGTATTTCCAATGACAAGGAGGTGCTTCCGGCTGGAGTTGAACCAGCCTCCTTAGGATCACAGCATTTCACACAAGGAGCATCTTACAGTGCACCGCTCTACCAACTGAGCTATCAAGGTGCTCTCTAGTCACTAGTGCAGAAAACATAGTGGCTTCGAAGACACACTATGCCCACAGAACTATTCCAACCCATGGTCAATGAAAAGCCCAGCCCTACCTGACGAACAAAGCTTTGCAGTTTGTACCCAACAGTCATTGCCAGGGACCCAGAACTGATAATCAGGACTTTTAGGCTGGGTGATTAAAAAATTGATGGTTGAAAATTTAAGAAAGAGTTATCTTGTTTGTGTTTTTACATTTTGGAGGAGTTGACAGATAAAGACAAGGCTTGGGGGTATTTCCAATGACAAGGAGGTGCTTCCGGCTGGAGTTGAACCAGCCACCTTCGGATCACAGCGTTTCACACAAGGAGCATCTTACAGTCCACCGCTCTACCAACTGAGCTATCAAGGTGCTCTCTAGTCACAAGTGCAGAAAACATAGTGGCTTCGAAGACACACTATGCCCACAGAACTATTCCAACCCATGGTCAATGAAAAGCCCAGCCCTACCTGACGAACAAAGCTTTGCAGTTTGTACCCAACAGTCATTGCCAGGGACCCAGAACTGATAATCAGGACTTTTAGGCTGGGTGAATAAAAAATTGATGGTTGAAAATTTAAGAAAGAGTTATCTTGTTTGTGTTTTTACATTTTGGAGGAGTTGACAGATAAAGACAAGGCTTGGGGGTATTTCCAATGACAAGGAGGTGCTTCAGGCTGGAGTTGAACCAGCGACCTTAGGATCACAGCGTTTCACACAAGGAGCATCTTACAGTCGACCGCTCTACCAACTGAGCTATCAAGGTGCTCTCTAGTCACAAGTGCAGAAAACATAGTGGCTTCGAAGACACACTATGCCCACAGAACTATTCCAACCCATGGTCAATGAAAAGCCCAGCCCTACCTGACGAACAAAGCTTTGCAGTTTGTACCCAACAGTCATTGCCAGGGACCCAGAACTGATAATCAGGACTTTTAGGCTGGGTGAATAAAAAATTGATGGTTGAAAATTTAAGAAAGAGTTATCTTGTTTGTGTTTTTACATTTTGGAGGAGTTGACAGATAAAGACAAGGCTTGGGGGTATTTCCAATGACAAGGAGGTGCTTCCGGCCGGAGTTGAACCAGCCACCTTAGGATCACAGCGTTTCACACAAGGAGCATCTTACAGTCCACCGCTCTACCAACTGAGCTATCAAGGGGCTCTCTTGTCCCTAGTGCAGAAAACATAGTGGCTTCGAAGACACACTATGCCCACAGAACTATTCCAACCCATGGTCAATGAAAAGCCCAGCCCTACCTGACGAACAAAGCTTTGCAGTTTGTACCCAACAGTCATTGCCAGGGACCCAGAACTGATAATCAGGACTTTTAGGCTGGGTGAATAAAAAATTGATGGTTGAAAATTTAAGAAAGAGTTATCTTGTTTGTGTTTTTACATTTTGGAGGAGTTGAGAGATAAAGACAAGGTTTTGGGGTATTTCCAATGACGAGGAGGTGCTTCCGGCTGGAGTTGAACCAGCGACCTTAGGATCACAGCGTTTCACACAAGGAGCATGTTACAGTCCACCGCTCTACCAACTGAGCTATCAAGGTGCTCTCTAGTCACAAGTGCAGAAAACATAGTGGCTTCGAAGACACACTATGCCCACAGAACTATTCCAACCCATGGTCAATGAAAAGCCCAGCCCTACCTGACGAACAAAGCTTTGCAGTTTGTACCCAACAGTCATTGCCAGGGACCCAGAACTGATAATCAGGACTTTTAGGCTGGGTGAATAAAAAATTGATGGTTGAAAATTTAAGAAAGAGTTATCTTGTTTGTGTTTTTACATTTTGGAGGAGTTGACAGATAAAGACAAGGTTTTGGGGTATTTCCAATGACGAGGAGGTGCTTCCGGCTGGAGTTGAACCAGCGACCTTAGGATCACAGCGTTTCACACAAGGAGCATCTTACAGTCCACCGCTCTACCAACTGAGCTATCAAGGTGCTCTCTAGTCACAAGTGCAGAAAACATAGTGGCTTCGAAGACACACTATGCCCACAGAACTATTCCAACCCATGGTCAATGAAAAGCCCAGCCCTACCTGACGAACAAAGCTTTGCAGTTTGTACCCAACAGTCATTGCCAGGGACCCAGAACTGATAATCAGGACTTTTAGGCTGGGTGAATAAAAAATTGATGGTTGAAAATTTAAGAACGAGTTATCTTGTTTGTGTTTTTACATTTTGGAGGAGTTCACAGATAAAGACAAGGCTTTGGGGTATTTCCAATGACAAGGAGGTGCTTCCGGCTGGAGTTGAACCAGCGACCTTAGGATCACAGCGTTTCACACAAGGAGCATCTTACAGTCGACCGCTCTACCAACTGAGCTATCAAGGGGCTCTCTAGTCTCAAGTGCAGAAAACATAGTGGCTTCGAAGACACACTATGCCCACAGAACTATTCCAACCCATGGTCAATGAAAAGCCCAGCCCTACCTGCAGAACAAAGCTTTGCAGTTTGTACCCAACAGTCATTGCCAGGGACCCAGAACTGATAATCAGGACTTTTAGGCTGGGTGAATAAAAAATTGATGGTTGAAAATTTAAGAACGAGTTATCTTGTTTGTGTTTTTACATTTTGGAGGAGTTGACAGATAAAGACAAGGCTTGGGGGTATTTCCAATGACGAGGAGGTGTTTCCGGCTGGAGTTGAACGAGCGACCTTAGGATCACAGCGTTTCACACAAGGAGCATCTTACAGTCCACCGGTCTACCAACTGAGCTATCAAGGGGCTCTCTAGTCACAAGTGCAGAAAACATAGTGGCTTCGAAGACACACTATGCCCACAGAACTATTCCAACCCATGGTCAATGAAAAGCCCAGCCCTACCTGACGAACAAAGCTTTGCAGTTTGTACCCAACAGTCATTGCCAGGGACCCAGAACTGATAATCAGGACTTTTAGGCTGGGTGAATAAAAAATTGATGGTTGAAAATTTAAGAAAGAGTTATCTTGTTTGTGTTTTTACATTTTGGAGGAGTTGACAGATAAAGACAAGGTTTTGGGGTATTTCCAATGACAAGGAGGTGCTTCCGGCTGGAGTTGAACCAGCCACCTTAGGATCACAGCGTTTCACACAAGGAGCATGTTACAGTCCACCGCTCTACCAACTGAGCTATCAAGGTGCTCTCGAGTCACAAGTGCAGAAAACATAGTGGCTTCGAAGACACACTATGCCCACAGAACTATTCCAACCCATGGTCAATGAAAAGCCCAGCCCTACCTGACGAACAAAGCTTTGCAGTTTGTACCCAACAGTCATTGCCAGGGACCCAGAACTGATAATCAGGACTTTTAGGCTGGGTGAATAAAAAATTGATGGTTGAAAATTTAAGAAAGAGTTATCTTGTTTGTGTTTTTACATTTTGGAGGAGTTGACAGATAAAGACAAGGTTTTGGGGTATTTCCAATGACGAGGAGGTGCTTCCGGCTGGAGTTGAACCAGCGACCTTAGGATCACAGCGTTTCACACAAGGAGCATCTTACAGTGCACCGCTCTACCAACTGAGCTATCAAGGTGCTCTGTAGTCACAAGTGCAGAAAACATAGTGGCTTCGAAGACACACTATGCCCACAGAACTATTCCAACCCATGGTCAATGAAAAGCCCAGCCCTACCTGATGAACAAAGCTTTGCAGTTTGTACCCAACAGTCATTGCCAGGGACCCAGAACTGATAATCAGGACTTTTAGGCTGGGTGATTAAAAAATTGATGGTTGAAAATTTAAGAAAGAGTTATCTTGTTTGTGTTTTTACATTTTGGAAGAGTTGACAGATAAAGACAAGGCTTGGGGGTATTTCCAATGACAAGGAGGTGCTTCCGGCTGGAGTTGAACCAGCCACCTTCGGATCACAGCGTTTCACACAAGGAGCATCTTACAGTCCACCGCTCTACCAACTGAGCTATCAAGGTGCTCTCTAGTCACAAGTGCAGAAAACATAGTGGCTTCGAAGACACACTATGCCCACAGAACTATTCCAACCCATGGTCAATGAAAAGCCCAGCCCTACCTGACGAACAAAGCTTTGCAGTTTGTACCCAACAGTCATTGCCAGGGACCCAGAACTGATAATCAGGACTTTTAGGCTGGGTGAATAAAAAATTGATGGTTGAAAATTTAAGAAAGAGTCATCTTGTTTGTGTTTTTACATTTTGGAGGAGTTGAGAGATAAAGACAAGGTTTTGGGGTATTTCCAATGACGAGGAGGTGCTTCCGGCTGGAGTTGAACCAGCGACCTTAGGATCACAGCGTTTCACACAAGGAGCATGTTACAGTCCACCGCTCTACCAACTGAGCTATCAAGGTGCTCTCTAGTCACAAGTGCAGAAAACATAGTGGCTTCGAAGACACACTATGCCCACAGAACTATTCCAACCCATGGTCAATGAAAAGCCCAGCCCTACCTGACGAACAAAGCTTTGCAGTTTGTACCCAACAGTCATTGCCAGGGACCCAGAACTGATAATCAGGACTTTTAGGCTGGGTGAATAAAAAATTGATGGTTGAAAATTTAAGAACGAGTTATCTTGTTTGTGTTTTTACATTTTGGAGGAGTTGACAGATAAAGACAAGGCTTGGGGGTATTTCCAATGACAAGGAGGTGCTTCCGGCCGGAGTTGAACCAGCCACCTTAGGATCACAGCGTTTCACACAAGGAGCATCTTACAGTCCACCGCTCTACGAACTGAGCTATCAAGGGGCTCTCTAGTCCCTAGTGCAGAAAACATAGTTGCTTCGAAGACACACTATGCCCACAGAACTATTCCAACCCATGGTCAATGAAAAGCCCAGCCCTACCTGACGAACAAAGCTTTGCAGTTTGTACCCAACAGTCATTGCCAGGGACCCAGAACTGATAATCAGGACTTTTAGGCTGGGTGAATAAAAAATTGATGGTTGAAAATTTAAGAAAGAGTTATCTTGTTTGTGTTTTTACATTTTGGAGGAGTTGACAGATAAAGACAAGGTTTTGGGGTATTTCCAATGACGAGGAGGTGCTTCCGGCTGGAGTTGAACCAGCCACCTTAGGATCACAGCGTTTCACACAAGGAGCATCTTACAGTCCACCGCTCTAGCAACTGAGCTATCAAGGTGCTCTCTAGTCACAAGTGCAGAAAACATAGTGGCTTCGAAGACACACTATGCCCACAGAACTATTCCAACCCATGGTCAATGAAAAGCCCAGCCCTACCTGACGAACAAAGCTTTGCAGTTTGTACCCAACAGTCATTGCCAGGGACCCAGAACTGATAATCAGGACTTTTAGGCTGGGTGAATAAAAAATTGATGGTTGAAAATTTAAGAAAGAGTTATCTTGTTTGTGTTTTTACATTTTGGAGGAGTTGACAGATAAAGAGAAGGCTTGGGGTATTTCCAATGACAAGGAGGTGCTTCAGGCTGGAGTTGAACCAGCGACCTTAGGATCACAGCGTTTCACACAAGGAGCATCTTACAGTCCACCGCTCTACCAACTGAGCTATCAAGGTGCTCTCTAGTCACAAGTGCAGAAAACATAGTGGCTTCTAAGACACACTATGCCCACAGAACTATTCCAACCCATGGTCAATGAAAAGCCCAGCCCTACCTGACGAACAAAGCTTTGCAGTTTGTACCCAACAGTCATTGCCAGGGACCCAGAACTGATAATCAGGACTTTTAGGCTGGGTGAATAAAAAATTGATGGTTGAAAATTTAAGAAAGAGTTATCTTGTTTGTGTTTTTACATTTTGGAGGAGTTGACAGATAAAGACAAGGCTTGGGGGTATTTCCAATGACAAGGAGGTGCTTCCGGCCGGAGTTGAACCAGCCACCTTAGGATCACAGCATTTCACACAAGGAGCATCTTACAGTCCACCGCTCTACCAACTGAGCTATCAAGGGGCTCTCTTGTCCCTAGTGCAGAAAACATAGTGGCTTCGAAGACACACTATGCCCACAGAACTATTCCAACCCATGGTCAATGAAAAGCCCAGCCCTACCTGACGAACAAAGCTTTGCAGTTTGTACCCAACAGTCATTGCCAGGGACCCAGAACTGATAATCAGGACTTTTAGGCTGGGTGAATAAAAAATTGATGGTTGAAAATTTAAGAAAGAGTTATCTTGTTTGTGTTTTTACATTTTGGAGGAGTTGAGAGATAAAGACAAGGTTTTGGGGTATTTCCAATGACGAGGAGGTGCTTCCGGCTGGAGTTGAACCAGCGACCTTAGGATCACAGCGTTTCACACAAGGAGCATCTTACAGTCCACCGCTCTACCAACTGAGCTATCAAGGTGCTCTGTAGTCACAAGTGCAGAAAACATAGTGGCTTCGAAGACACACTATGCCCACAGAACTATTCCAACCCATGGTCAATGAAAAGCCCAGCCCTACCTGCAGAACAAAGCTTTGCAGTTTGTACCCAACAGTCATTGCCAGGGACCCAGAACTGATAATCAGGACTTTTAGGCTGGGTGAATAAAAAATTGATGGTTGAAAATTTAAGAACGAGTTATCTTGTTTGTGTTTTTACATTTTGGAGGAGTTGACAGATAAAGACAAGGCTTGGGGGTATTTCCAATGACGAGGAGGTGTTTCCGGCTGGAGTTGAACGAGCCACCTTAGGATCACAGCGTTTCACACAAGGAGCATCTTACAGTCCACCGCTCTACCAACTGAGCTATCAAGGGGCTCTCTAGTCACAAGTGCAGAAAACATAGTGGCTTCGAAGACACACTATGCCCACAGAACTATTCCAACCCATGGTCAATGAAAAGCCCAGCCCTACCTGACGAACAAAGCTTTGCAGTTTGTACCCAACAGTCATTGCCAGGGACCCAGAACTGATAATCAGGACTTTTAGGCTGGGTGAATAAAAAATTGATGGTTGAAAATTTAAGAAAGAGTTATCTTGTTTGTGTTTTTACATTTTGGAGGAGTTGACAGATAAAGACAAGGTTTTGGGGTATTTCCAATGACAAGGAGGTGCTTCCGGCTGGAGTTGAACCAGCCACCTTAGGATCACAGCGTTTCACACAAGGAGCATGTTACAGTCCACCGCTCTACCAACTGAGCTATCAAGGTGCTCTCGAGTCACAAGTGCAGAAAACATAGTGGCTTCGAAGACACACTATGCCCACAGAACTATTCCAACCCATGGTCAATGAAAAGCCCAGCCCTACCTGACGAACAAAGCTTTGCAGTTTGTACCCAACAGTCATTGCCAGGGACCCAGAACTGATAATCAGGACTTTTAGGCTGGGTGAATAAAAAATTGATGGTTGAAAATTTAAGAAAGAGTTATCTTGTTTGTGTTTTTACATTTTGGAGGAGTTGACAGATAAAGACAAGGCTTGGGGGTATTTCCAATGACAAGGAGGTGCTTCCGGCTGGAGTTGAACCAGCCACCTTAGGATCACAGCGTTTCACACAAGGAGCATCTTACAGTCCACCGCTCTACCAACTGAGCTATCAAGGTGCTCTCTAGTGACAAGTGCAGAAAACATAGTGGCTTCGAAGACACACTATGCCCACAGAACTATTCCAACCCATGGTCAATGAAAAGCCCAGCCCTACCTGACGAACAAAGCTTTGCAGTTTGTACCCAACAGTCATTGCCAGGGACCCAGAACTGATAATCAGGACTTTTAGGCTGGGTGAATAAAAAATTGATGGTTGAAAATTTAAGAAAGAGTTATCTTGTTTGTGTTTTTACATTTTGGAGGAGTTGAGAGATAAAGACAAGGTTTTGGGGTATTTCCAATGACGAGGAGGTGCTTCCGGCTGGAGTTGAACCAGCGACCTTAGGATCACAGCGTTTCACACAAGGAGCATGTTACAGTCCACCGCTCTACCAACTGAGCTATCAAGGTGCTCTCTAGTCAGAAGTGCAGAGAACATAGTGGCTTCGAAGACACACTATGCCCACAGAACTATTCCAACCCATGGTCAATGAAAAGCCCAGCCCTACCTGACGAACAAAGCTTTGCAGTTTGTACCCAACAGTCATTGCCAGGGACCCAGAACTGATAATCAGGACTTTTAGGCTGGGTGAATAAAAAATTGATGGTTGAAAATTTAAGAAAGAGTTATCTTGTTTGTGTTTTTACATTTTGGAGGAGTTGACAGATAAAGACAAGGCTTGGGGGTATTTCCAATGAAATGGAGGTGCTTCCGGCTGGAGTTGAACCAGCCACCTTCGGATCACAGCGTTTCACACAAGGAGCATGTTACAGTCCACCGCTCTACCAACTGAGCTATCAAGGTGCTCTCTAGTCACAAGTGCAGAAAACATAGTGGCTTCGAAGACACACTATGCCCACAGAACTATTCCAACCCATGGTCAATGAAAAGCCCAGCCCTACCTGACGAACAAAGCTTTGCAGTTTGTACCCAACAGTCATTGCCAGGGACCCAGAACTGATAATCAGGACTTTTAGGCTGGGTGAATAAAAAATTGATGGTTGAAAATTTAAGAAAGAGTTATCTTGTTTGTGTTTTTACATTTTGGAGGAGTTGACAGATAAAGAGAAGGCTTGGGGGTATTTCCAATGACAAGGAGGTGCTTCAGGCTGGAGTTGAACCAGCGACCTTAGGATCACAGCGTTTCACACAAGGAGCATCTTACAGTCGACCGCTCTACCAACTGAGCTATCAAGGTGCTCTCTAGTCACAAGTGCAGAAAACATAGTGGCTTCGAAGACACACTATGCCCACAGAACTATTCCAACCCATGGTCAATGAAAAGCCCAGCCCTACCTGACGAACAAAGCTTTGCAGTTTGTACCCAACAGTCATTGCCAGGGACCCAGAACTGATAATCAGGACTTTTAGGCTGGGTGAATAAAAAATTGATGGTTGAAAATTTAAGAAAGAGTTATCTTGTTTGTGTTTTTACATTTTGGAGGAGTTGACAGATAAAGACAAGGCTTGGGGGTATTTCCAATGACAAGGAGGTGCTTGAGGCCGGAGTTGAACCAGCCACCTTAGGATCACAGCGTTTCACACAAGGAGCATCTTACAGTCCACCGCTCTACCAACTGAGCTATCAAGGGGCTCTCTTGTCCCTAGTGCAGAAAACATAGTGGCTTCGAAGACACACTATGCCCACAGAACTATTCCAACCCATGGTCAATGAAAAGCCCAGCCCTACCTGACGAACAAAGCTTTGCAGTTTGTACCCAACAGTCATTGCCAGGGACCCAGAACTGATAATCAGGACTTTTAGGCTGGGTGAATAAAAAATTGATGGTTGAAAATTTAAGAAAGAGTTATCTTGTTTGTGTTTTTACATTTTGGAGGAGTTGACAGATAAAGACAAGGTTTTGGGGTATTTCCAATGACGAGGAGGTGCTTCCGGCTGGAGTTGAACCAGCGACCTTAGGATCACAGCGTTTCACACAAGGAGCATGTTACAGTCCACCGCTCTACCAACTGAGCTATCAAGGTGCTCTCTAGTCACAAGTGCAGAAAACATAGTGGCTTCGAAGACACACTATGCCCACAGAACTATTCCAACCCATGGTCAATGAAAAGCCCAGCCCTACCTGACGAACAAAGCTTTGCAGTTTGTACCCAACAGTCATTGCCAGGGACCCAGAACTGATAATCAGGACTTTTAGGCTGGGTGAATAAAAAATTGATGGTTGAAAATTTAAGAAAGAGTTATCTTGTTTGTGTTTTTACATTTTGGAGGAGTTGACAGATAAAGACAAGGTTTTGGGGTATTTCCAATGACGAGGAGGTGCTTCCGGCTGGAGTTGAACCAGCGACCTTAGGATCACAGCGTTTCACACAAGGAGCATCTTACAGTCCACCGCTCTACCAACTGAGCTATCAAGGTGCTCTCTAGTCACAAGTGCAGAAAACATAGTGGCTTCGAAGACACACTATGCCCACAGAACTATTCCAACCCATGGTCAATGAAAAGCCCAGCCCTACCTGACGAACAAAGCTTTGCAGTTTGTACCCAACAGTCATTGCCAGGGACCCAGAACTGATAATCAGGACTTTTAGGCTGGGTGAATAAAAAATTGATGGTTGAAAATTTAAGAAAGAGTTATCTTGTTTGTGTTTTTACATTTTGGAGGAGTTGACAGATAAAGACAAGGTTTTGGGGTATTTCCAATGACGAGGAGGTGCTTCCGGCTGGAGTTGAACCAGCGACCTTAGGATCACAGCGTTTCACACAAGGAGCATCTTACAGTCCACCGCTCTACCAACTGAGCTATCAAGGTGCTCTCTAGTCACAAGTGCAGAAAACATAGTGGCTTCGAAGACACACTATGCCCACAGAACTATTCCAACCCATGGTCAATGAAAAGCCCAGCCCTACCTGACGAACAAAGCTTTGCAGTTTGTACCCAACAGTCATTGCCAGGGACCCAGAACTGATAATCAGGACTTTTAGGCTGGGTGATTAAAAAATTGATGGTTGAAAATTTAAGAAAGAGTTATCTTGTTTGTGTTTTTACATTTTGGAGGAGTTGACAGATAAAGACAAGGCTTGGGGGTATTTCCAATGACAAGGAGGTGCTTCCGGCTGGAGTTGAACCAGCCACCTTAGGATCACAGCGTTTCACACAAGGAGCATCTTACAGTCCACCGCTCTAGCAACTGAGCTATCAAGGTGCTCTCTAGTCACAAGTGCAGAAAACATAGTGGCTTCGAAGACACACTATGCCCACAGAACTATTCCAACCCATGGTCAATGAAAAGCCCAGCCCTACCTGACGAACAAAGCTTTGCAGTTTGTACCCAACAGTCATTGCCAGGGACCCAGAACTGATAATCAGGACTTTTAGGCTGGGTGAATAAAAAATTGATGGTTGAAAATTTAAGAAAGAGTTATCTTGTTTGTGTTTTTACATTTTGGAGGAGTTGAGAGATAAAGACAAGGTTTTGGGGTATTTCCAATGACGAGGAGGTGCTTCCGGCTGGAGTTGAACCAGCGACCTTAGGATCACAGCGTTTCACACAAGGAGCATGTTACAGTCCACCGCTCTACCAACTGAGCTATCAAGGTGCTCTCTAGTCACAAGTGCAGAAAACATAGTGGCTTCGAAGACACACTATGCCCACAGAACTATTCCAACCCATGGTCAATGAAAAGCCCAGCCCTACCTGACGAACAAAGCTTTGCAGTTTGTACCCAACAGTCATTGCCAGGGACCCAGAACTGATAATCAGGACTTTTAGGCTGGGTGAATAAAAAATTGATGGTTGAAAATTTAAGAACGAGTTATCTTGTTTGTGTTTTTACATTTTGGAGGAGTTGACAGATAAAGACAAGGCTTGGGGGTATTTCCAATGACAAGGAGGTGCTTCCGGCCGGAGTTGAACCAGCCACCTTAGGATCACAGCGTTTCACACAAGGAGCATCTTACAGTCCACCGCTCTACGAACTGAGCTATCAAGGGGCTCTCTAGTCCCTAGTGCAGAAAACATAGTTGCTTCGAAGACACACTATGCCCACAGAACTATTCCAACCCATGGTCAATGAAAAGCCCAGCCCTACCTGACGAACAAAGCTTTGCAGTTTGTACCCAACAGTCATTGCCAGGGACCCAGAACTGATAATCAGGACTTTTAGGCTGGGTGAATAAAAAATTGATGGTTGAAAATTTAAGAAAGAGTTATCTTGTTTGTGTTTTTACATTTTGGAGGAGTTGACAGATAAAGACAAGGTTTTGGGGTATTTCCAATGACGAGGAGGTGCTTCCGGCTGGAGTTGAACCAGCCACCTTAGGATCACAGCGTTTCACACAAGGAGCATCTTACAGTCCACCGCTCTACCAACTGAGCTATCAAGGTGCTCTCTAGTCACAAGTGCAGAAAACATAGTGGCTTCGAAGACACACTATGCCCACAGAACTATTCCAACCCATGGTCAATGAAAAGCCCAGCCCTACCTGACGAACAAAGCTTTGCAGTTTGTACCCAACAGTCATTGCCAGGGACCCAGAACTGATAATCAGGACTTTTAGGCTGGGTGATTAAAAAATTGATGGTTGAAAATTTAAGAACGAGTTATCTTGTTTGTGTTTTTACATTTTGGAGGAGTTGACAGATAAAGACAAGGCTTGGGGGTATTTCCAATGACAAGGAGGTGCTTCCGGCTGGAGTTGAACCAGCCACCTTAGGATCACAGCGTTTCACACAAGGAGCATCTTACAGTCCACCGCTCTACCAACCGAGCTATCAAGGTGCTCTCTAGTCACAAGTGCAGAAAACATAGTGGCTTCGAAGACACACTATGCCCACAGAACTATTCCAACCCATGGTCAATGAAAAGCCCAGCCCTACCTGACGAACAAAGCTTTGCAGTTTGTACCCAACAGTCATTGCCAGGGACCCAGAACTGATAATCAGGACTTTTAGGCTGGGTGATTAAAAAATTGATGGTTGAAAATTTAAGAAAGAGTTATCTTGTTTGTGTTTTTACATTTTGGAGGAGTTGACAGATAAAGACAAGGCTTGGGGGTATTTCCAATGAAATGGAGGTGCTTCCAGCTAGAGTTGAACCAGCCACTTTCGGATCACAGCGTTTCACACAAGGAGCATCTTACAGTCCACCGCTCTACCAACTGAGCTATCAAGGTGCTCTCTAGTCACAAGTGCAGAAAACATAGTGGCTTCGAAGACACACTATGCCCACAGAACTATTCCAACCCATGGTCAATGAAAAGCCCAGCCCTACCTGACGAACAAAGCTTTGCAGTTTGTACCCAACAGTCATTGCCAGGGACCCAGAACTGATAATCAGGACTTTTAGGCTGGGTGAATAAAAAATTGATGGTTGAAAATTTAAGAAAGAGTTATCTTGTTTGTGTTTTTACATTTTGGAGGAGTTGACAGATAAAGAGAAGGCTTGGGGGTATTTCCAATGACAAGGAGGTGCTTCCGGCTGGAGTTGAACCAGCGACCTTAGGATCACAGCGTTTCACACAAGGAGCATCTTACAGTCGACCGCTCTACCAACTGAGCTATCAAGGTGCTCTCTAGTCACAAGTGCAGAAAACATAGTGGCTTCGAAGACACACTATGCCCACAGAACTATTCCAACCCATGGTCAATGAAAAGCCCAGCCCTACCTGACGAACAAAGCTTTGCAGTTTGTACCCAACAGTCATTGCCAGGGACCCAGAACTGATAATCAGGACTTTTAGGCTGGGTGAATAAAAAATTGATGGTTGAAAATTTAAGAAAGAGTTATCTTGTTTGTGTTTTTACATTTTGGAGGAGTTGACAGATAAAGACAAGGTTTTGGGGTATTTCCAATGACGAGGAGGTGCTTCCGGCTGGAGTTGAACCAGCGACCTTAGGATCACAGCGTTTCACACAAGGAGCATCTTACAGTCCACCGCTCTACCAACTGAGCTATCAAGGTGCTCTCGAGTCACAAGTGCAGAAAACATAGTGGCTTCGAAGACACACTATGCCCACAGAACTATTCCAACCCATGGTCAATGAAAAGCCCAGCCCTACCTGACGAACAAAGCTTTGCAGTTTGTACCCAACAGTCATTGCCAGGGACCCAGAACTGATAATCAGGACTTTTAGGCTGGGTGATTAAAAAATTGATGGTTGAAAATTTAAGAAAGAGTTATCTTGTTTGTGTTTTTACATTTTGGAGGAGTTGACAGATAAAGACAAGGCTTGGGGGTATTTCCAATGACAAGGAGGTGCTTCCGGCTGGAGTTGAACCAGCCACCTTAGGATCACAGCGTTTCACACAAGGAGCATCTTACAGTCCACCGCTCTACCAACTGAGCTATCAAGGTGCTCTCTAGTCACAAGTGCAGAAAACATAGTGGCTTCGAAGACACACTATGCCCACAGAACTATTCCAACCCATGGTCAATGAAAAGCCCAGCCCTACCTGACGAACAAAGCTTTGCAGTTTGTACCCAACAGTCATTGCCAGGGACCCAGAACTGATAATCAGGACTTTTAGGCTGGGTGAATAAAAAATTGATGGTTGAAAATTTAAGAAAGAGTTATCTTGTTTGTGTTTTTACATTTTGGAGGAGTTGAGAGATAAAGACAAGGTTTTGGGGTATTTCCAATGACGAGGAGGTGCTTCCGGCTGGAGTTGAACCAGCGACCTTAGGATCAAAGCGTTTCACACAAGGAGCATGTTACAGTCCACCGCTCTACCAACTGAGCTATCAAGGTGCTCTCTAGTCACAAGTGCAGAAAACATAGTGGCTTCGAAGACACACTATGCCCACAGAACTATTCCAACCCATGGTCAATGAAAAGCCCAGCCCTACCTGACGAACAAAGCTTTGCAGTTTGTACCCAACAGTCATTGCCAGGGACCCAGAACTGATAATCAGGACTTTTAGGCTGGGTGAATAAAAAATTGATGGTTGAAAATTTAAGAACGAGTTATCTTGTTTGTGTTTTTACATTTTGGAGGAGTTGACAGATAAAGACAAGGCTTGGGGGTATTTCCAATGACAAGGAGGTGCTTCCGGCCGGAGTTGAACCAGCCACCTTAGGATCACAGCGTTTCACACAAGGAGCATCTTACAGTCCACCGCTCTACGAACTGAGCTATCAAGGGGCTCTCTAGTCCCTAGTGCAGAAAACATAGTTGCTTCGAAGACACACTATGCCCACAGAACTATTCCAACCCATGGTCAATGAAAAGCCCAGCCCTACCTGACGAACAAAGCTTTGCAGTTTGTACCCAACAGTCATTGCCAGGGACCCAGAACTGATAATCAGGACTTTTAGGCTGGGTGAATAAAAAATTGATGGTTGAAAATTTAAGAAAGAGTTATCTTGTTTGTGTTTTTACATTTTGGAGGAGTTGACAGATAAAGACAAGGTTTTGGGGTATTTCCAATGACGAGGAGGTGCTTCCGGCTGGAGTTGAACCAGCCACCTTAGGATCACAGCGTTTCACACAAGGAGCATCTTACAGTCCACCGCTCTACCAACTGAGCTATCAAGGTGCTCTCTAGTCACAAGTGCAGAAAACATAGTGGCTTCGAAGACACACTATGCCCACAGAACTATTCCAACCCATGGTCAATGAAAAGCCCAGCCCTACCTGACGAACAAAGCTTTGCAGTTTGTACCCAACAGTCATTGCCAGGGACCCAGAACTGATAATCAGGACTTTTAGGCTGGGTGATTAAAAAATTGATGGTTGAAAATTTAAGAACGAGTTATCTTGTTTGTGTTTTTACATTTTGGAGGAGTTGACAGATAAAGACAAGGCTTGGGGGTATTTCCAATGACAAGGAGGTGCTTCCGGCTGGAGTTGAACCAGCCACCTTAGGATCACAGCGTTTCACACAAGGAGCATCTTACAGTCCACCGCTCTACCAACCGAGCTATCAAGGTGCTCTCTAGTCACAAGTGCAGAAAACATAGTGGCTTCGAAGACACACTATGCCCACAGAACTATTCCAACCCATGGTCAATGAAAAGCCCAGCCCTACCTGACGAACAAAGCTTTGCAGTTTGTACCCAACAGTCATTGCCAGGGACCCAGAACTGATAATCAGGACTTTTAGGCTGGGTGATTAAAAAATTGATGGTTGAAAATTTAAGAAAGAGTTATCTTGTTTGTGTTTTTACATTTTGGAGGAGTTGACAGATAAAGACAAGGCTTGGGGGTATTTCCAATGAAATGGAGGTGCTTCCAGCTAGAGTTGAACCAGCCACTTTCGGATCACAGCGTTTCACACAAGGAGCATCTTACAGTCCACCGCTCTACCAACTGAGCTATCAAGGTGCTCTCTAGTCACAAGTGCAGAAAACATAGTGGCTTCGAAGACACACTATGCCCACAGAACTATTCCAACCCATGGTCAATGAAAAGCCCAGCCCTACCTGACGAACAAAGCTTTGCAGTTTGTACCCAACAGTCATTGCCAGGGACCCAGAACTGATAATCAGGACTTTTAGGCTGGGTGAATAAAAAATTGATGGTTGAAAATTTAAGAAAGAGTTATCTTGTTTGTGTTTTTACATTTTGGAGGAGTTGACAGATAAAGAGAAGGCTTGGGGGTATTTCCAATGACAAGGAGGTGCTTCAGGCTGGAGTTGAACCAGCGACCTTAGGATCACAGCGTTTCACACAAGGAGCATCTTACAGTCGACCGCTCTACCAACTGAGCTATCAAGGTGCTCTCTAGTCACAAGTGCAGAAAACATAGTGGCTTCGAAGACACACTATGCCCACAGAACTATTCCAACCCATGGTCAATGAAAAGCCCAGCCCTACCTGACGAACAAAGCTTTGCAGTTTGTACCCAACAGTCATTGCCAGGGACCCAGAACTGATAATCAGGACTTTTAGGCTGGGTGAATAAAAAATTGATGGTTGAAAATTTAAGAAAGAGTTATCTTGTTTGTGTTTTTACATTTTGGAGGAGTTGACAGATAAAGACAAGGCTTGGGGGTATTTCCAATGACAAGGAGGTGCTTCCGGCCGGAGTTGAACCAGACACCTTAGGATCACAGCGTTTCACACAAGGAGCATCTTACAGTCCACCGCTCTACCAACTGAGCTATCAAGGGGCTCTCTTGTCCCTAGTGCAGAAAACATAGTGGCTTCGAAGACACACTATGCCCACAGAACTATTCCAACCCATGGTCAATGAAAAGCCCAGCCCTACCTGACGAACAAAGCTTTGCAGTTTGTACCCAACAGTCATTGCCAGGGACCCAGAACTGATAATCAGGACTTTTAGGCTGGGTGAATAAAAAATTGATGGTTGAAAATTTAAGAAAGAGTTATCTTGTTTGTGTTTTTACATTTTGGAGGAGTTGAGAGATAAAGACAAGGTTTTGGGGTATTTCCAATGACGAGGAGGTGCTTCCGGCTGGAGTTGAACCAGCGACCTTAGGATCACAGCGTTTCACACAAGGAGCATGTTACAGTCCACCGCTCTACCAACTGAGCTATCAAGGTGCTCTCTAGTCACAAGTGCAGAAAACATAGTGGCTTCGAAGACACACTATGCCCACAGAACTATTCCAACCCATGGTCAATGAAAAGCCCAGCCCTACCTGACGAACAAAGCTTTGCAGTTTGTACCCAACAGTCATTGCCAGGGACCCAGAACTGATAATCAGGACTTTTAGGCTGGGTGAATAAAAAATTGATGGTTGAAAATTTAAGAAAGAGTTATCTTGTTTGTGTTTTTACATTTTGGAGGAGTTGACAGATAAAGACAAGGTTTTGGGGTATTTACAATGACGAGGAGGTGCTTCCGGCTGGAGTTGAACCAGCCACCTTAGGATCACAGCGTTTCACACAAGGAGCATCTTACAGTCCACCGCTCTACCAACTGAGCTATCAAGGTGCTCTCTAGTCACAAGTGCAGAAAACATAGTGGCTTCGAAGACACACTATGCCCACAGAACTATTCCAACCCATGGTCAATGAAAAGCCCAGCCCTACCTGACGAACAAAGCTTTGCAGTTTGTACCCAACAGTCATTGCCAGGGACCCAGAACTGATAATCAGGACTTTTAGGCTGGGTGAATAAAAAATTGATGGTTGAAAATTTAAGAAAGAGTTATCTTGTTTGTGTTTTTACATTTTGGAGGAGTTCACAGATAAAGACAAGGCTTTGGGGTATTTCCAATGACAAGGAGGTGCTTCCGGCTGGAGTTGAACCAGCGACCTTAGGATCACAGCGTTTCACACAAGGAGCATCTTACAGTCGACCGCTCTACCAACTGAGCTATCAAGGGGCTCTCTAGTCTCAAGTGCAGAAAACATAGTGGCTTCGAAGACACACTATGCCCACAGAACTATTCCAACCCATGGTCAATGAAAAGCCCAGCCCTACCTGCAGAACAAAGCTTTGCAGTTTGTACCCAACAGTCATTGCCAGGGACCCAGAACTGATAATCAGGACTTTTAGGCTGGGTGAATAAAAAATTGATGGTTGAAAATTTAAGAACGAGTTATCTTGTTTGTGTTTTTACATTTTGGAGGAGTTGACAGATAAAGACAAGGCTTGGGGGTATTTCCAATGACGAGGAGGTGTTTCCGGCTGGAGTTGAACGAGCGACCTTAGGATCACAGCGTTTCACACAAGGAGCATCTTACAGTCCACCGGTCTACCAACTGAGCTATCAAGGGGCTCTCTAGTCACAAGTGCAGAAAACATAGTGGCTTCGAAGACACACTATGCCCACAGAACTATTCCAACCCATGGTCAATGAAAAGCCCAGCCCTACCTGACGAACAAAGCTTTGCAGTTTGTACCCAACAGTCATTGCCAGGGACCCAGAACTGATAATCAGGACTTTTAGGCTGGGTGAATAAAAAATTGATGGTTGAAAATTTAAGAAAGAGTTATCTTGTTTGTGTTTTTACATTTTGGAGGAGTTGACAGATAAAGACAAGGTTTTGGGGTATTTCCAATGACAAGGAGGTGCTTCCGGCTGGAGTTGAACCAGCCACCTTAGGATCACAGCGTTTCACACAAGGAGCATGTTACAGTCCACCGCTCTACCAACTGAGCTATCAAGGTGCTCTCGAGTCACAAGTGCAGAAAACATAGTGGCTTCGAAGACACACTATGCCCACAGAACTATTCCAACCCATGGTCAATGAAAAGCCCAGCCCTACCTGACGAACAAAGCTTTGCAGTTTGTACCCAACAGTCATTGCCAGGGACCCAGAACTGATAATCAGGACTTTTAGGCTGGGTGATTAAAAAATTGATGGTTGAAAATTTAAGAAAGAGTTATCTTGTTTGTGTTTTTACATTTTGGAGGAGTTGACAGATAAAGACAAGGCTTGGGGGTATTTCCAATGACAAGGAGGTGCTTCCGGCTGGAGTTGAACCAGCGACCTTAGGATCAAAGCGTTTCACACAAGGAGCATCTTACAGTCCACCGCTCTACAAACTGAGCTATCAAGGTGCTCTCTAGTCACAAGTGCGGAACACATAGTGGCTTCGAAGGCACACTATGCCCACAGAACTATTCCAACCCATGGTCAATGAAAAGCCCAGCCCTACCTGCAGAACAAAGCTTTGCAGTTTGTACCCAACAGTCATTGCCAGGGACCCAGAACTGATAATCAGGACTTTTAGGCTGGGTGAATAAAAAATGATGGTTGAAAATTTAAGAACGAGTTATCTTGTTTGTGTTTTTACAATTTGGAGGAGTTGACAGATAAAGACAAGGCTTGGGGGTATTTCCAATGACAAAGAGGTGCTTCCGGCTGGTGTTGAACCAGCGACCTTAGGATCACAGCGTTTCACACAAGGAGCATGTTACAGTCCACCGCTCTACCAACTGAGCTATCAAGGTGCTCTCTAGTCACAAGTGCAGAAAACATAGTGGCTTCGAAGACACACTATGCCCACAGAACTATTCCAACCCATGGTCAATGAAAAGCCCAGCCCTACCTGACGAACAAAGCTTTGCAGTTTGTACCCAACAGTCATTGCCAGGGACCCAGAACTGATAATCAGGACTTTTAGGCTGGGTGATTAAAAAATTGATGGTTGAAAATTTAAGAAAGAGTTATCTTGTTTGTGTTTTTACATTTTGGAGGAGTTGACAGATAAAGACAAGGCTTGGGGGTATTTCCAATGAAATGGAGGTGCTTCCAGCTAGAGTTGAACCAGCCACTTTCGGATCACAGCGTTTCACACAAGGAGCATCTTACAGTCCACCGCTCTACCAACTGAGCTATCAAGGTGCTCTCTAGTCACAAGTGCAGAAAACATAGTGGCTTCGAAGACACACTATGCCCACAGAACTATTCCAACCCATGGTCAATGAAAAGCCCAGCCCTACCTGACGAACAAAGCTTTGCAGTTTGTACCCAACAGTCATTGCCAGGGACCCAGAACTGATAATCAGGACTTTTAGGCTGGGTGAATAAAAAATTGATGGTTGAAAATTTAAGAAAGAGTTATCTTGTTTGTGTTTTTACATTTTGGAGGAGTTGACAGATAAAGAGAAGGCTTGGGGGTATTTCCAATGACAAGGAGGTGCTTCAGGCTGGAGTTGAACCAGCGACCTTAGGATCACAGCGTTTCACACAAGGAGCATCTTACAGTCGACCGCTCTACCAACTGAGCTATCAAGGTGCTCTCTAGTCACAAGTGCAGAAAACATAGTGGCTTCGAAGACACACTATGCCCACAGAACTATTCCAACCCATGGTCAATGAAAAGCCCAGCCCTACCTGACGAACAAAGCTTTGCAGTTTGTACCCAACAGTCATTGCCAGGGACCCAGAACTGATAATCAGGACTTTTAGGCTGGGTGAATAAAAAATTGATGGTTGAAAATTTAAGAAAGAGTTATCTTGTTTGTGTTTTTACATTTTGGAGGAGTTGACAGATAAAGACAAGGCTTGGGGGTATTTCCAATGACAAGGAGGTGCTTCCGGCCGGAGTTGAACCAGCCACCTTAGGATCACAGCGTTTCACACAAGGAGCATCTTACAGTCCACCGCTCTACCAACTGAGCTATCAAGGGGCTCTCTTGTCCCTAGTGCAGAAAACATAGTGGCTTCGAAGACACACTATGCCCACAGAACTATTCCAACCCATGGTCAATGAAAAGCCCAGCCCTACCTGACGAACAAAGCTTTGCAGTTTGTACCCAACAGTCATTGCCAGGGACCCAGAACTGATAATCAGGACTTTTAGGCTGGGTGAATAAAAAATTGATGGTTGAAAATTTAAGAAAGAGTTATCTTGTTTGTGTTTTTACATTTTGGAGGAGTTCACAGATAAAGACAAGGTTTTGGGGTATTTCCAATGACAAGGAGGTGCTTCCGGCTGGAGTTGAACCAGCCACCTTAGGATCACAGCGTTTCACACAAGGAGCATGTTACAGTCCACCGCTCTACCAACTGAGCTATCAAGGTGCTCTCGAGTCACAAGTGCAGAAAACATAGTGGCTTCGAAGACACACTATGCCCACAGAACTATTCCAACCCATGGTCAATGAAAAGCCCAGCCCTACCTGACGAACAAAGCTTTGCAGTTTGTACCCAACAGTCATTGCCAGGGACCCAGAACTGATAATCAGGACTTTTAGGCTGGGTGAATAAAAAATTGATGGTTGAAAATTTAAGAAAGAGTTATCTTGTTTGTGTTTTTACATTTTGGAGGAGTTGACAGATAAAGACAAGGTTTTGGGGTATTTCCAATGACGAGGAGGTGCTTCCGGCTGGAGTTGAACCAGCCACCTTAGGATCACAGCGTTTCACACAAGGAGCATCTTACAGTCCACCGCTCTACCAACTGAGCTATCAAGGTGCTCTCTAGTCACAAGTGCAGAAAACATAGTGGCTTCGAAGACACACTATGCCCACAGAACTATTCCAACCCATGGTCAATGAAAAGCCCAGCCCTACCTGACGAACAAAGCTTTGCAGTTTGTACCCAACAGTCATTGCCAGGGACCCAGAACTGATAATCAGGACTTTTAGGCTGGGTGAATAAAAAATTGATGGTTGAAAATTTAAGAACGAGTTATCTTGTTTGTGTTTTTACATTTTGGAGGAGTTGACAGATAAAGACAAGGCTTTGGGGTATTTCCAATGACAAGGAGGTGCTTCCGGCTGGAGTTGAACCAGCGACCTTAGGATCACAGCGTTTCACACAAGGAGCATCTTACAGTCGACCGCTCTACCAACTGAGCTATCAAGGGGCTCTCTAGTCTCAAGTGCAGAAAACATAGTGGCTTCGAAGACACACTATGCCCACAGAACTATTCCAACCCATGGTCAATGAAAAGCCCAGCCCTACCTGCAGAACAAAGCTTTGCAGTTTGTACCCAACAGTCATTGCCAGGGACCCAGAACTGATAATCAGGACTTTTAGGCTGGGTGAATAAAAAATTGATGGTTGAAAATTTAAGAACGAGTTATCTTGTTTGTGTTTTTACATTTTGGAGGAGTTGACAGATAAAGACAAGGCTTGGGGGTATTTCCAATGACGAGGAGGTGTTTCCGGCTGGAGTTGAACGAGCGACCTTAGGATCACAGCGTTTCACACAAGGAGCATCTTACAGTCCACCGGTCTACCAACTGAGCTATCAAGGGGCTCTCTAGTCACAAGTGCAGAAAACATAGTGGCTTCGAAGACACACTATGCCCACAGAACTATTCCAACCCATGGTCAATGAAAAGCCCAGCCCTACCTGACGAACAAAGCTTTGCAGTTTGTACCCAACAGTCATTGCCAGGGACCCAGAACTGATAATCAGGACTTTTAGGCTGGGTGAATAAAAAATTGATGGTTGAAAATTTAAGAAAGAGTTATCTTGTTTGTGTTTTTACATTTTGGAGGAGTTGACAGATAAAGACAAGGTTTTGGGGTATTTCCAATGACAAGGAGGTGCTTCCGGCTGGAGTTGAACCAGCCACCTTAGGATCACAGCGTTTCACACAAGGAGCATGTTACAGTCCACCGCTCTACCAACTGAGCTATCAAGGTGCTCTCTAGTCACAAGTGCAGAAAACATAGTGGCTTCGAAGACACACTATGCCCACAGAACTATTCCAACCCATGGTCAATGAAAAGCCCAGCCCTACCTGACGAACAAAGCTTTGCAGTTTGTACCCAACAGTCATTGCCAGGGACCCAGAACTGATAATCAGGACTTTTAGGCTGGGTGATTAAAAAATTGATGGTTGAAAATTTAAGAAAGAGTTATCTTGTTTGTGTTTTTACATTTTGGAGGAGTTGACAGATAAAGACAGGGCTTGGGGGTATTTCCAATGACAAGGAGGTGCTTCCGGCTGGAGTTGAACCAGCGACCTTAGGATCAAAGCGTTTCACACAAGGAGCATCTTACAGTCCACCGCTCTACAAACTGAGCTATCAAGGTGCTCTCTAGTCACAAGTGCGGAACACATAGTGGCTTCGAAGGCACACTATGCCCACAGAACTATTCCAACCCATGGTCAATGAAAAGCCCAGCCCTACCTGCAGAACAAAGCTTTGCAGTTTGTACCCAACAGTAATTGCCAGGGACCCAGAACTGATAATCAGGACTTTTAGGCTGGGTGAATAAAAAAATGATGGTTGAAAATTTAAGAACGAGTTATCTTGTTTGTGTTTTTACAATTTGGAGGAGTTGACAGATAAAGACAAGGCTTGGGGGTATTTCCAATGACAAAGAGGTGCTTCCGGCTGGTGTTGAACCAGCGACCTTAGGATCACAGCGTTTCACACAAGGAGCATGTTACAGTCCACCGCTCTACCAACTGAGCTATCAAGGTGCTCTCTAGTCACAAGTGCAGAAAACATAGTGGCTTCGAAGACACACTATGCCCACAGAACTATTCCAACCCATGGTCAATGAAAAGCCCAGCCCTACCTGACGAACAAAGCTTTGCAGTTTGTACCCAACAGTCATTGCCAGGGACCCAGAACTGATAATCAGGACTTTTAGGCTGGGTGAATAAAAAATTGATGGTTGAAAATTTAAGAAAGAGTTATCTTGTTTGTGTTTTTACATTTTGGAGGAGTTGACAGATAAAGACAAGGCTTGGGGGTATTTCCAATGACAAGGAGGTGCTTGCGGCTGGAGTTGAACCAGCGACCTTAGGATCACAGCGTTTCACACAAGGAGCATCTTACAGTGCACCGCTCTAGCAACTGAGCTATCAAGGTGCTCTCTAGTCACAAGTGCAGAAAACATAGTGGCTTCGAAGACACACTATGCCCACAGAACTATTCCAACCCATGGTCAATGAAAAGCCCAGCCCTACCTGACGAACAAAGCTTTGCAGTTTGTACCCAACAGTCATTGCCAGGGACCCAGAACTGATAATCAGGACTTTTAGGCTGGGTGAATAAAAAATTGATGGTTGAAAATTTAAGAAAGAGTTATCTTGTTTGTGTTTTAACATTTTGGAGGAGTTGACAGATAAAGACAAGGCTTGGGGGTATTTCCAATGACAAGGAGGTGCTTCCGGCTGGAGTTGAACCAGCCACCTTAGGATCACAGCGTTTCACACAAGGAGCATCTTACAGTCCACCGCTCTACCAACTGAGCTATCAAGGTGCTCTCTACTCACAAGTGCAGAAAACATAGTGGCTTCGAAGACACACTATGCCCACAGAACTATTCCAACCCATGGTCAATGAAAAGCCCAGCCCTACCTGACGAACAAAGCTTTGCAGTTTGTACCCAACAGTCATTGCCAGGGACCCAGAACTGATAATCAGGACTTTTAGGCTGGGTGAATAAAAAATTGATGGTTGAAAATTTAAGAAAGAGTTATCTTGTTTGTGTTTTCACATTTTGGAGGAGTTGACAGATAAAGACAAGGCTTGGGGGTATTTCCAATGACAAGGAGGTGCTTCCGGCTGGAGTTGAACCAGCCACCTTAGGATCACAGCGTTTCACACAAGGAGCATCTTACAGTCCACCGCTCTACCAACTGAGCTATCAAGGTGCTCTCTAGTCACAAGTGCAGAAAACATAGTGGCTTCGAAGACACACTATGCCCACAGAACTATTCCAACCCATGGTCAATGAAAAGCCCAGCCCTACCTGACGAACAAAGCTTTGCAGTTTGTACCCAACAGTCATTGCCAGGGACCCAGAACTGATAATCAGGACTTTTAGGCTGGGTGAATAAAAAATTGATGGTTGAAAATTTAAGAAAGAGTTATCTTGTTTGTGTTTTAACATTTTGGAGGAGTTGACAGATAAAGACAAGGCTTGGGGGTATTTCCAATGACAAGGAGGTGCTTCCGGCTGGAGTTGAACCAGCCACCTTAGGATCACAGCGTTTCACACAAGGAGCATCTTACAGTCCACCGCTCTACCAACTGAGCTATCAAGGTGCTCTCTAGTCACAAGTGCAGAAAACATAGTGGCTTCGAAGACACACTATGCCCACAGAACTATTCCAACCCATGGTCAATGAAAAGCCCAGCCCTACCTGACGAACAAAGCTTTGCAGTTTGTACCCAACAGTCATTGCCAGGGACCCAGAACTGATAATCAGGACTTTTAGGCTGGGTGAATAAAAAATTGATGGTTGAAAATTTAAGAAAGAGTTATCTTGTTTGTGTTTTTACATTTTGGAGGAGTTGACAGATAAAGAGAAGGCTTGGGGGTATTTCCAATGACAAGGAGGTGCTTCCGGCTGGAGTTGAAACAGCCACCTTAGGATCACAGCGTTTCACACAAGGAGCATCTTACAGTCGACCGCTCTACCAACTGAGCTATCAAGGTGCTCTCTAGTCACAAGTGCAGAAAACATAGTGGCTTCGAAGACACACTATGCCCACAGAACTATTCCAACCCATGGTCAATGAAAAGCCCAGCCCTACCTGACGAACAAAGCTTTGCAGTTTGTACCCAACAGTCATTGCCAGGGACCCAGAACTGATAATCAGGACTTTTAGGCTGGGTGAATAAAAAATTGATGGTTGAAAATTTAAGAAAGAGTTATCTTGTTTGTGTTTTTACATTTTGGAGGAGTTGACAGATAAAGACAAGGCTTGGGGGTATTTCCAATGACAAGGAGGTGCTTCCGGCCGGAGTTGAACCAGCCACCTTAGGATCACAGCGTTTCACACAAGGAGCATCTTACAGTCCACCGCTCTACCAACTGAGCTATCAAGGGGCTCTCTTGTCCCTAGTGCAGAAAACATAGTGGCTTCGAAGACACACTATGCCCACAGAACTATTCCAACCCATGGTCAATGAAAAGCCCAGCCCTACCTGACGAACAAAGCTTTGCAGTTTGTACCCAACAGTCATTGCCAGGGACCCAGAACTGATAATCAGGACTTTTAGGCTGGGTGAATAAAAAATTGATGGTTGAAAATTTAAGAAAGAGTTATCTTGTTTGTGTTTTTACATTTTGGAGGAGTTGAGAGATAAAGACAAGGTTTTGGGGTATTTCCAATGACGAGGAGGTGCTTCCGGCTGGAGTTGAACCAGCGACCTTAGGATCACAGCGTTTCACACAAGGAGCATGTTACAGTCCACCGCTCTACCAACTGAGCTATCAAGGTGCTCTCTAGTCACAAGTGCAGAAAACATAGTGGCTTCGAAGACACACTATGCCCACAGAACTATTCCAACCCATGGTCAATGAAAAGCCCAGCCCTACCTGACGAACAAAGCTTTGCAGTTTGTACCCAACAGTCATTGCCAGGGACCCAGAACTGATAATCAGGACTTTTAGGCTGGGTGAATAAAAAATTGATGGTTGAAAATTTAAGAACGAGTTATCTTGTTTGTGTTTTTACATTTTGGAGGAGTTGACAGATAAAGACAAGGCTTGGGGGTATTTCCAATGACAAGGAGGTGCTTCCGGCCGGAGTTGAACCAGCCACCTTAGGATCACAGCGTTTCACACAAGGAGCATCTTACAGTCCACCGCTCTACCAACTGAGCTATCAAGGGGCTCTGTAGTCCCTAGTGCAGAAAACATAGTTGCTTCGAAGACACACTATGCCCACAGAACTATTCCAACCCATGGTCAATGAAAAGCCCAGCCCTACCTGACGAACAAAGCTTTGCAGTTTGTACCCAACAGTCATTGCCAGGGACCCAGAACTGATAATCAGGACTTTTAGGCTGGGTGAATAAAAAATTGATGGTTGAAAATTTAAGAAAGAGTTATCTTGTTTGTGTTTTTACATTTTGGAGGAGTTGACAGATAAAGACAAGGTTTTGGGGTATTTCCAATGACAAGGAGGTGCTTCCGGCTGGAGTTGAACCAGCCACCTTAGGATCACAGCGTTTCACACAAGGAGCATCTTACAGTCCACCGCTCTACCAACTGAGCTATCAAGGTGCTCTCTAGTCACAAGTGCAGAAAACATAGTGGCTTCGAAGACACACTATGCCCACAGAACTATTCCAACCCATGGTCAATGAAAAGCCCAGCCCTACCTGACGAACAAAGCTTTGCAGTTTGTACCCAACAGTCATTGCCAGGGACCCAGAACTGATAATCAGGACTTTTAGGCTGGGTGAATAAAAAATTGATGGTTGAAAATTTAAGAAAGAGTTATCTTGTTTGTGTTTTTACATTTTGGAGGAGTTGACAGATAAAGACAAGGCTTGGGGGTATTTCCAATGACAAGGAGGTGCTTCCGGCTGGAGTTGAACCAGCGACCTTAGGATCACAGCGTTTCACACAAGGAGCATCTTACAGTCCACCGCTCTACCAACTGAGCTATCAAGGGGCTCTCTAGTCTCAAGTGCAGAAAACATAGTGGCTTCGAAGACACACTATGCCCACAGAACTATTCCAACCCATGGTCAATGAAAAGCCCAGCCCTACCTGCAGAACAAAGCTTTGCAGTTTGTACCCAACAGTCATTGCCAGGGACCCAGAACTGATAATCAGGACTTTTAGGCTGGGTGAATAAAAAATTGATGGTTGAAAATTTAAGAAAGAGTTATCTTGTTGGTGTTTTTACATTTTGGAGGAGTTGACAGATAAAGACAAGGCTTGGGGGTATTTCCAATGACAAGGAGGTGCTTCGGGCTGGAGTTGAACCAGCCACCTTAGGATGACAGCGTTTCACACAAGGAGCATCTTACAGTCCACCGCTCTACCAACTGAGCTATCAAGGTGCTCTCTAGTCACAAGTGCAGAAAACATAGTGGCTTCGAAGACACACTATGCCCACAGAACTATTCCAACCCATGGTCAATGAAAAGCCCAGCCCTACCTGACGAACAAAGCTTTGCAGTTTGTACCCAACAGTCATTGCCAGGGACCCAGAACTGATAATCAGGACTTTTAGGCTGGGTGAATAAAAAATTGATGGTTGAAAATTTAAGAAAGAGTTATCTTGTTTGTGTTTTTACATTTTGGAGGAGTTGACAGATAAAGACAAGGCTTGGGGGTATTTCCAATGACAAGGAGGTGCTTCCGGCTGGAGTTGAACCAGCCACCTTAGGATCACAGCGTTTCACACAAGGAGCATCTTACAGTCGACCGCTCTACCAACTGAGCTATCAA